AGCCCCGACCCCTTATCTACAAGCACAACAAGCATGTGCAACAGATCGGCACGGCCCTTTACTCCCGGCTTTTCTGGCGCTCGGCCAGCAACATCCTCTGTCATCTTCAGGCCATCTGCCCCCAAAAAACCTAGTGAAAGTCTGGGTGGGCAGAGCACGGTGGCTCCCCCTTTCTCGCCTCTGGCTCCGGGAGCAGCTGCCAACACACCAGTGCCAACACATCGCGGTCCAGTCAGCTCCTCCACATCTCTCTATATTCCCGTGCCAGGAAGGCCAACACCGCCACTGGAGTCACAGCCAGGAGGGGGAGGACGTGCTCCGGAGACCAAGCCTTCTGCCAGCACTGCTCGGACCTCCACCACCTCTATCTTTTTGTCAGCTCCCTCCAAGCCAGGAGGGGAGGCAGCCTCCGCAGCGTCCCAGCCACGAGTCACTGGAACGGCCTCTTCTTCTTTGTATATTAGCCCAGCACCATCGCAGCACACCATAAGCAGTTCCCCCACACCAAAGCAGCCTTCTCCTGCTGTCTCACCAGCAATGCCACGACCTCCTTCTGAGCCCTTAACCTCGAGGGAGCAGAGGATTGCGGTGCCGGCTCCCCGTACAGGCATCCTGCAGGAGGCTCGCCGCCGGGGCAACAAGAAACCCATGTTCAGTAAGATTGAGGAGAAGAAGAAGAATTCACCCAACCCTGAGCTCCTGTCTCTGGTGCAGAACCTGGATGAGAAGCCAAAAGGTGACCACCCCGGGGCAGGCTTCGAGTCTGGGCCTGAGGAGGACTTCCTCAGCTTGGGTGCCGAGGCCTGCAACTTCATGCAGTCCTCTGGCCGCAAGTTCAAGACCCCACCTCCAGTGGCTCCTAAGCCTCAGCAGCAAGATGGACTGGTAAATGGTGCCCACGACATGCCTCAGCTTAAAGGCAAGGGGGCAGAGCTCTTTGCCAAACGCCAGAGCCGCATGGACAAATATGTGGTGGAAACAACACGGAAGCCAGAGTCCAAGCCCAGGACCCCCTCTCCTTCCCCTTCTCTACCCTCATCCTGGAAATATTCGCCCAACATCCGTGCTCCCCCGCCAATAGCCTACAACCCAATGCATTCCCCTTTCTATCCCCTGGCAGCCAGCAAATCTCAGGCTAGCAAAGCAGAGAGCAAAGTGAAAAAGGCACCTGGCCAGAAATCAGGGATCAAGGTCATTGATATAATGCGCCACCAGCCCTATCAATTGAAGTCAGCCATGTTCTGTTTTGGGGATCCCCCAAGCCCCAGCATTCAGGAGCCTCCTGCTCAGCCGGCCCCGCAGGCCAGCTCGTCCTTCACCAAGCAGGTCCCTGTGAAAACAGCCAAGACTCAGGAGATTCGTCGCTTCTCCACTCCGGCCCCAATGTCAAGCAGCCTGGCACCCACCGTGCTTGCGCCCCGCTCGGCCACCACGTTGGATGAGCCAGTGTGGAGAACAGAAATGGCCTCTTCTGCCCCTGCGACACCGGCACCCTTCCAGGTGGAGCTCGGCCAGTGCCCTAAGCCATACCAGAGCTCCCCAGAGCCTGGTCCGGTGGGCCAGGGGCCTTCCCCAAACCCAGCCTCAGCCTCTCGGTTTCAGGTGGCCAGGCCCAAGTTCTCGGCAGCGAGAACAGGGATGCAAGCCAATGTGTGGAGGCCGAGCTTCGGCCACCACTGAGGCAGGCACCCCTCCCATCCCGTCCGTGGCCCCGCAGATATAGCGCTCCTTTTGTCTTTCCTGTCAGCTCAGTACATTGGGATGAGTGACACAAAATGAAGAAAAGAGAAAAAAAAAATTACGCCCCTTCTGCACCACCCTCTCCCCCAGCATCCCCTTGGTCTCAGACGGGCAGCTTCGTGACAAGGCTTACTGGCTGTGGCGACAGCAGGAGGAAGGATGTGGAGAGAGGGCACACGTGTGGTACACGGAGACTGGGAGTTCGCACACAGCGGTGAAACCCACCTCTGGACGGGGTGAATGGCAGGGGTTGTCTCACATGAGGACATGTCTGCAGTCGTGGTTTTCCTTTCCCAAGGGCTTTGGAGTCCCCCCTGAATGGAGGGAGAGTGGGAGGCAAGAGCTGTCCAGGAAGAAAGGGTCAGAGGTGGGATGACAGTACAGAAGCCCCAGCTTCCCCGTTAGACTGCTTTTCTCTGAGCCTGCCCGAGCGTGTGTGCAGCAACACTCAGCAGGGAGGGAAAGCAGACATGGGGCTTCGCCTTGGACGCTTCTCCCAGACCCCCCTCCTGAGGGGCACAGAGGAGGAGGCCGGAGAGCAGAGTGAGCGGGGTGTCTGCACGTGCAGGCGTGCGCAGCGTGCCTTGCGCAGGAGGGCGGCCCTGTGCACCCACTCTGCCGCTCACCAGGGCTGGGGGTAGCAGGGAGAGTCATCCCAGCTGGTGCTGAACACAGTTGTCAGGTCTGGGAGCAGTTTGCCAAAGAGGGGCGTTGAGAGGACTTGGTGGGACTATCACAAGCTGGAGGAACCGCAGAAGGAAGTACCAGTTTTTGAGGATACACAAAGTCAAAGCTAAGCTCAGGCAGTGGCTGGCTGGCGCAAGGAAGGCCCCGCAGCTTTAGTTCCCCTGGAAGAGGACACAGATGCTGTACGTACAAAGGAGGATTGCGTGGGAGAAGGTACAGTTGGCTTTAAAAGAAGGCAGGATTGAACATGCATTTGCACATCATGTTTTTGTTTAGTTTAGGACAGAAGTGTGGTGAGATTGGAAACAGGTCATGACCTAAACCTAAAACTCACCGAAAACTCTCTAGTGAACTGGAAGATGGAGCCCCTTTACAGATGCTCTCAGTATGGAAGTGGAAGACAGGGAAACAGAAAGTCACAAGTAGAATTTCATACTAAATGATTTAAGTGTCCTTGGGGTCTATTTGGTAAGAACTGAAGTGGTCTGAGAGTCCCAGAGGATCTGCACTCACACACGCGTACAGAGCTCAGTTTGCTGGCGATGCTGGGGAAACAGGACTGGTTATTCCTTGAACGTCCCAGGCCAGCCTCAGACTTAATCCTTACACTAAAGGCATACAAGCAGAAAGCATTTCCTCTCCCAGGGAAGAATTCAAGATATTAGTAGGGACTGTGCGTGTGTGTGCACGTGTCATCTGTGCTCTGGTTCGCACACATGCCTGCTGCCATTTGCCTTCTGCCTCTGCTCCCACTTTGGCAGCAGCTGCTTTGCCAATGTGATTCCACAAGTACACCAAGCGATCACTGCTCCTGGAGTGCTGGCTCCCAAACACAGGAGGGAAGGGGCTTGCCACCTCTTCCTCGGCAGGGCTTGCTAGACCCACAGGAATGATTACTGGAGGCAGGATGAAGGCCCCATAGCCCTGCTAGAGACATGTCTCCATCTCTTCAGACTTGCTCCTCTCCTTCAAGCAGAAGCCGTTCTCCGACTGGACCGAGCACAAACTTTGGATGTTTAAAACTGTAGTTTCTGGAGAGAAAAAAAGGAGCGCAAATAGGGCTGATGCCAAGTCTGTAAGCAGTGCAGCTACTGTGGTCCGAACCAACTTTCCTCCACACAGCTGGAGCTTACAATGTGTAGCTCTTTCCACAACAGCTTGGGGCTCTGCTTTTTCTTGGAGGCTCTGAGGTGCTTCTCTGTGACCGCTTAGCGATTTTGCATGTGTGCACTCCCACAAACAAAAAGAGGGCTGGAGAACCTAGCTAGTAGCTCAAGTCCCAGACAAGCTTGGGAGGGAGAGAATGAGAGGAAAGGAGAAGTAATAAACAATCCTGCCTTTGAATCCTTCACGCTCTGGCTAGGCTTGTTCTGCAGGCCTGTGTTTGCCGTGCACATTCCTGGGGGCCCTGAAACAAAGGATGGGCATCCTGAGGAGGGAGGAGGACAGCACTTACACCTCACTTGGCAGACTGTCAGCCACGGGAGAGGACAGAGAGGAAACCTTTGGGAGTGCCTTGAGTTAATGAGCAAAGGGGTGGCTGAGCCAGAAGAGGTGCTGCATCTGGTCGTATCACATAGGAGCAGCCGACCTCAACCGATGGTGATTGTATGTGTTCCTGGGAAGCCCCAGAGGGGAGGTCTTAGGACAAGTCATGTCACAGAGTTCAGATCACCAGAAGCCACTTAGCTCTGGTGAAGGGGAGTAGCCATGCTACAAAACCTAACTTGGACAACTGCTTTCTCACTCATCCTGTGCTGCATTGCATTGCCAGTGCTTCTGGAAAAAGCTCCTGTGTGCTGTAGCAAGCTGAGTCTCTGTGATTTTTCCCAAACGTGGAAGAAGTCGTCTTCTGTTTTTCTAGGAAAGCTGTGGGAAGGAACTGAAGGACTAGCAGTGCTCCAAAAGCTTCATCTCCAGTCTCCTTGTGGAGTGCTGTCTGTCACTGGCTAATGGTTTTAGCCACTAGCCTCAGACAGACGAGCTAGCCCAGGCTGAAAGCATCACTGAGCTCAGGTGTAGAGAGGGGTTATGGTGACCAGCGAAAGGGTGCTCAAGATAATTCTTCTAGTGAAGAAATAACCTGAGAAAGTCTGAATCTTACTCCAGTGTCCCTTTCCCTCAGGCCCCTAAAGGTAAGTGCTCTCAGGGCCTGAGTGTCTCAGGAAATTCATTTTGCCACTGGAAAAAGAGATGTCTGGCCTTAGCATGTCAGGAAGATTGCATGTGGTGAGTATTTCAGTGGTCCCACTCCAGATTTCTGGGACACACTGATGCAAGCCAAGGAGCCATGGCCAAACACTCCTGAATCTTACACGTCAGGACCCATGTGAGTGGAATAGCTGCATTTGGCCCACCGTTTCTCATAATGTAACGGGCAGGAGATGAAAAAACATTAGGTCTGACTGGAGAATGAGTATTGAACATCAGAGCAAGGAAAAGAATCAGGAGGCTGGGGGTCCTGCATTTCACTTCTAACATCCTTGGTTCGAAACCATGTTTAGAAGCAAAGCTAAAGCAGTTTGATGGATCTCAGCCCCTCCCAATCTTTTCTGGATCCTGTGCTGACACAGGACTTGATCTGAAGAAGGGTGTTGCAGATGAGGCCTACAGTGCTTGGGGAGTATCCCAAATAGGGCCTGTGGCTGAAAGTAGCATGAAATGAGAAATAATACTGAGATGCACCTGCTAAGCTATATGGAAGAAGCCTGCACTACTGCTGGCTTCAAGCAGCTCTGCTAATGTCTGCTCACGAAAATACATACTGTGGCTGGCCTGTTAGAAAGGTCACAGGTGAGGTTAGGAGGAATACTTTTGAACCATATAAGCTTGTCTTGAGCCTCTCCAAATTTCTAATTCCTCAGCTGTTGAACAAGCAGACATAAACCATTGTTTGACAAGTTTTAGCTCCCACCCGCTAAGTTTTAAGCTGCAGTGGTAGGCCAAACCCCAGTGTCCCCTTGTTAAGCATCTGAAGATGTCTGCATGGACTCTGATTTAAAAATGCCTGTCATCCCTCCGCTCTAGCATGCTGCAGGTTACACATTGCAGCTATGACAGTTCTGGAGGTTTATCTTTGCTTCAGAAGTATCACTCCTTTCCCTCTGAATATATGGGAACGCTTGCCAGAGATAACCTCAAGATCCTGCAGCAGCTGAGAGGAAGCATATCAGAAGAGAGTGGTGTGATGAGGAGTCACTGATCCCCAGACACGAGCACAGTGCAAGTGAGAATTGTCCTTCAGCAAGAATGCACTCCCTTTCTGCCATCATATCCAGCATCCCCTAGCAGACCCTCTTCCTACCAGAGACTCGTCAGTGCTCTGAAAATGGGAGCCCAGCAGCCGTGCTGTCTGGTGGAAGATGTGACTCCAGAAGCAGAACAGAGTTGGCATCTTTGTTTATGGAAATACTTTTTCTCCCTTTTCTGTTTTGTCTTTTTATTTTTTTTCCCCCAATTTACAGTCACTTTCTATTTGTTTGTGCAGAAGAATAAACTTGTGATATGCACTTTACACGTGGCATTTTGTCTTCTTTGCTTGGCACCCAGAAGTAACTGCTATGTGTACAGCACATGCAGCTAGCACTACCAACAAACTACCAAGGCCAAGAGAATATAAGGATTCCAGAAAAGGATGGGATGTCTCAGCAACAAAAACATCTAAGTTGGATTTAAAACCCCTATACATTAAAAAAGTCCCATGCAACCAAAAATTTAACTGAGATCCAAAATGTTGCTACTACAGGCTATATAACATTCCCTGACAGGGTGAAGGAATTTGTTTATGGGCCAGCCCCGGCTGGTCTGCCCCAGCCCTGCCCCTCAGCCGGCTCTAACCCAAACCCTACCCTCTGCTTGTAAATCTGGTATCAGTGGGAGTTTGTCAGCTCTGGCAAAGGTAAATATAAACTCACACTGAATGATTCAACTTCTTCTTAACATTAACCAAGAGTTCAGAAAACCAAATCCGTCAGAAAATCAAATATATCCCATTGTATCCTCAGGCCCCAAGCCTAATCCTAACTCTAACCCAATTCAGGTCAAAGTCTACCCAATTTCTGGGTCCTGAGGGGTGCATTTTGCTGAGTTCAGGACCAGTGTTAGCAGGTCACCTTTCCCAGACATATGTCACTCACAGCTAGCAATTCCTGAGCACTGCAGGAGACGCTGGGGTCAGCTGTAGGATTGGACTGCAGGTATCACTTTGTGGATGTTTTTCAGACTAATTACGAGGAGGGGTCCCTTATGCAGTG